CATCGTGTTCTACGTAAAATTTTGGTTAAAAAAACATGTATCAGAATGCTTGAATTCGTACCTTGTCTAGTGGTCCATTATAATGTGAACCACATGGACCCTCCTAAGAAATGAAGCTGTTCTAGGTTGTGGGAACGATTATGAACACAGCTCTGATCAGTGGCGTGGCATGCTGTGCGATTCATCGATTGATCTGCCGTTGAAACCTATGGAAAAGGATCGATATACAGGGTGTTTGCAACGAACACCTAATAACCGATTCTTAAACATAGCTTCAAATGGGGAAATATCGATAATCGATCATTCACGCAACGCCACTGGCCCTGATTCCTTACGAACGATCCTCCTTCGGACCTCGATTATAAAGCTGAAGACCGGCGAGATTGAAGGCGCATGCGCAAAACTCGCAGTTGCGGGTGGTTTTACGTGACTGAGGCCCGGATTGCATGAGTCGAAGCAATTTGAACGGCACCAGCACCTATGCGTCAATTTAAAATTTATAAGCGCAGCTTCCGAGAGAGGAGCTAGCTTCGATGAGTTTTCCAACCGTAAAATCACTCCTTGTCCGACGTTGCAACGTTGCGCGCTCAAACGCTCATTGTTCTAGTCAACTTAAGGGCAGAAACCCGAAAGAATCTTTACCGTCGTAAATTCAAATGTTAATTTTTCGACCGATTGGGACGAAGTCAAACACTTTTGCTTATGTGCACTAAGGCCCCTGTACCCCATGAATAGTGACTATAGTTTTTTCAAAGCTAGTGGAGAGTCGGAGGCTACCCCATAATTGGATTCCATTTTGGAAGTGCTAAGCTGATAGGTAGCGCTTTCTGTTTTCAAACTGCCTCTATAGTACTCTAGTATACTAGTGGCAATGCGTTCAAATGGCGCACCAGCTCAACAACAATATGGCGGGGAGGTGCCTGACACTTTCCCTTAATACATACTTTTTTCATAAATTTAAATAAGAATAATCTATGCAGAGTGTGCGAACATTTCAAAATCATAAGTTGAAAACGCTGACTCCGCGAGTTTAAATATTAGAGCCTAACATAGAGCAGAGCAACGTGCTGCCAGCGCGACACGCGCATCGACGCTTACAAACCTAAGGGGATACTTCACGCATTGCGCAATGCTTGAAGTATTCCCTTAGGTTTGTAGGCACCAAGGCTCGTTTGCGCTGGCCGGCCCCCCGCGCCCTCTTTATGTGCTTCTGATGTCAGAGTGTGAAGGACAATAATCGTTTTTTTATGAATTATTTTCTTCGCGATAGTGTGCCTCTCTCAAAATTGGACTGCATTTTGCAATTTGGAACTATAGATTCCGGCCTAGTTTAAAAACAACGTATGTGCCATTAGTTTCCCTATTCACATAAGTGTTTTTCCAGATGAGCCAGAATTTATAGCTCCAAATTGCAAAATGCAGTCCAATTGATAGTTGAAACTTTGGTGAGCGAGTTCCTTCTTCTCAACGGTGATCGTCCTCTCTGTCAAACATAAAAATGTGACCGCATAGAAAACAACTGAACGCTACTCTAATAATATTGTTTTAGAGTTTTCCAGCGTGTCTTTTTTCTAAGTTATATTTCTGTAAAACTAAGCCATATTTTCAGAGATTGGGATTATTCACTGGCAAAGATTTTACGGCTGGTTGTGACAACAGCGCTCCTAAGACGACACAGGTCTCCTTCCTCCGACCCCATCGCGTTCTTACCTCCTCCCACTTTCTCATCACATCGACTCACCAGGCATTCCCTTTGAAATCACGGTGTTGGAAATAACTTCGATCTTAGAGCGATGTTCGTTTGACCCCCAGGGAAGACTGGAATTTAAATGAACGAAGATTGCTGAAGGTACGACGGGGAACGGTCTATTTGCCTCACTCGCTAATCCCCCGCATCATAATTTTCCGGCACGATACAATGCTAGCATTATACATTTATGGATTCTGTAACACGCTAGATTTTTCCTCTATTTATCACGGAGTATTTTGCACAAGATGCAAAAAATTAGTTACAAATGGAGTATTTGCATGCAAACTTTTTATTGCTTCATCTGAAAGTGCTTTAAGAGCTGATTTCGCGGTATGTTTTATAATTTTTTTCTGGTATGGGAAAAACTATAAAAATAGATTTAAAAGTGAGAAAATGCATCGCCTAGCGATGTCATCAGGCGGCATTTCCCATTTAAACACATGTATTTTGGCAGATTAGATCATTTTGTCATATTTTCTCTAATAATTGTTCAACTCATAAACCAAGGGTATCCTCGTGTTCAGTTCACTAAGTAGTTTCTACTTAACCTGAAATTCATCAAATTTCAGACACCTGCAAATTGTCTATGAAAAACAAAATGACAGTTGGGTTTCTCTTGAAAATTAAAATGAGACAAAAAATCCTTAACGTCACAAATGAACGAAGTGTCTTAAAACTTCCATTATCGATATGATTTGGTGTTACATCGTCTTTTGCAGCATCGATATGATATGACATATGATATGTGTTATGTGTGCTTTATAAATTTCAGTACATTTTCCAAAAATGTCTAAATTTTTTCGAGGCGCAATACTTCCCAGAGGCGTGGCGTGCTTTGCGATGTATCGATTGAATTGTCGTTTAAACCTATGGAAAAGGGTCGATAAAGAGAGTGTTCGCAACGAACACCTTCATAATCGGTTCCTTACCATAGCTTTAAACTGGGAAGTATCGATAATCGATCATTCGTGCCTCGCCACTGATATCTCCGTTAGTATTGGATGATAAAACTAGGCGTTTGTAGATATCGACGGTGTAAGTCGGCAATCACATTACTCGTTTTGCGACGTGGCAGACTTCCTGTCATACTTTATATTTTAAACAGAAAACTACTCAATGTAAATTCTTTAAAACTGCCATGATTTATCTTCTCTGTGCGAAAAAAATTCTGCCTAAACTTCAAGGAATGATATCAATTTGTTCTCCTTTAAAAAAATAACATAGAGGCGGAGATTTTTAGACACCGCAAACGAGATATGTGATTGCGGACTTACGCCGTCGATATCTTATTATTATGTGGCCATAATCATGCATCAAAACGAGATTCTGTGACCATCGCAACTGACCCACTGTCTAGTTGCCTATCGAATCGCCCTTGAAAACGATGAAGATCCATTCCGCCATTCCAACCGAAACGCCTACCGCCTCCTTGGAACTCGGGGTAGTTTGCGATTAACTTTTACAGCCCCTGCAACTGAAAACAGCGATGCAACGGAATGCGTACGTGGCAGGAGCAAAGTACAACGGAGAAGCGAAAAGCTCTTGGCGGAAAAGCTCTTTCTTTACTAAATCAAAATGAACGAAAGTTTAACTATTTAAAAGGGATTCTGAGCGGCGGAAGATAGCTGTAAATGAGAGAGGTACACACTCCCTCTCTGTCTCGCCCGAGTTTATGACCGAGCACACGATCTCGCCCAGCGATTTAAGTGACCATCAATACAAGTTTAATTGGCCAACAGGAATTTTAGTTTCCTTTAAACTGTCCCTGTCCGTCTCGGCAAGAACATTAACCGTTGAATTTATGTGCCCTCCCCGTAATTCCGCTCGTAAACTGATTCTATGTCGTGGAATTCCCGTCACCTTGCGATATCGCACCGAAAAATTAAAATTTCATGAGTCTCCGAGTTCGGTTTATTGGCCACACCACGCGTAGGAGGATTCCGTCGTGCAAAAAATCCTCTCTCTTATTCCGCTGCTCGCGCGACGGAGAGGCTACCATCATGAGCATTCAACTATATTTTCACAACAATATAAGCTCAGCACGGAACTTCCAGCAGAATTTGTATTCCTCGATCGAACTAACATCCGCTCGGAAATAATGCACGCCACTTATCGGATACGTAATATTTACGACTGACGACCAGGAGATTACTTGAAAATAAGATGGAACTAAAATTATTAACGTTAGGTGTCAGACACTTCAAAATTTAAGAAATCATTACAAACATAAAATTTCTCACGGATGTACTAGAATGAAGAAAAAGACGTGACTTATTCTAGGTACCTAATCTATTATTTTTATTTCTATTACGTGACCTATTCTATTTTACAGTATACTAGATTAGAAACCTACATGGAGAAATCAATTGGACCTATTTCTGTCAAACGGAACTATGTACATTATGACGTGAGCCCTGTTATGCATATATTCTCATGGGTCTCAGAGCTCACGCCATAATGCACATAGTTCCGTTTGGTAAAAATACGTACAATGGACCACTAGACAAGGTACGAATTTAAGCATCCTGATACATGTTTCTTAACCAGAATTTTACGTAGAGCACGATTCGCGCAACGAAAACTAATGAAACAAACTCCAAACGAAGATATTAACGTTTTTATTTCACATTGGTTACGAGGAATTTGAACTGCCCACTCACAAGAAACTCAAAGCTCTACGTGAGTCAAATCGCGCACTACAACGGTTTCAACAAGCTTCTCAATCGAGAAATATTCATTTCCCACCATGTGTTGTTCAAACTACAAGCAATTTGCTACACCTGAGCCAAAGCGTCAAGATCGAGGTTGCCAGATTTTTATATCGCAGAGACTGCCATGATTACGTTTAGCGCATGATGTGCGAATCACGCAGAGCCTTGAGTTTTCATGAGCGGGTGGTTTGAATTCACGCATCAAGAATCATAAAATATCTTTGGAAGGAGTTGATTTCGGTAATTTTCGTTGTGCGCGTCGTATTCTACGTGAAATTTTAGTTGAGAAACATGTATCAGAATGCTGAAATTCGTACCTTGTCCAGTGGTCCATTAAACGCGATGCTCGTTCCGTCCTTTACTCGCAATGCTTTTCCATGGCGCTTATTTCCGTGTGACAGAACGCGCTATCCGGGATTCCAAAATCCTCAAAAGGAACTCAATTTTGCGCTTAGTTCCGTTCAACAGTAATACGTCCATTTCATGTTAAATGTATATTGTTTTGAAAACTAAAGCATATTATTATATATCTGTTTCAGATGAGGGGAGCTACGAGGCAAGAGCGGACTCGATAGTGGATGGATCCGGTTGAGCGGAGAGACAAGTCCACCAATGAGAGGAGCGGTGGATGAGCGGATGAGCCCTCGGTTCGACTGCGATGGATAGACCATACTCGTGGGATCAATGCGGATCAGTGCGGAAAGTTGAAGCGGGGGTGGGCGGGGCGACGGGGGCAGGAAGCAAAGCCCTGGAGGACTCGGACGACGGGCCCGGGTGCTTCTGCTGCGACTCGGACAGCGACGACAGCGCCGAGCAGGTGCGGATCCGCAACACGAACAAGAAGTGCGCCCGCGGGTGTCTGAACAACATCGTCGTCTGCTCGGTCGTCATCTTGTACACCTTCTTCGGAGCGGTTCTCTTCCTCCTCATCGAGGGCGGCGGGGTCCTCACCGTCGACGACAAGATCCTCGACGAGTCCGAGGAGCCCTCCTTCCTCAACGACGAGAAGATCTCGGCCGTCAAGCGGAACCTGGGCTCCTTCAATAATCTCACGCTCCAGTGGATCGAGAACATCAACGCCGAGAACCGCGAGCGCACCGTCGAGAACATCTGGGACATCACGGTGAACCTGAACATCCTCTACCGGGAGAACTGGACCCGGTTGGCCGCCCAGGAGATCAACCGGTTCCAGCAGCAGCTCGTCGAGCGCATCACGCGGGAGGTCACCGCTGAGTCCGAGCCTCAGATCCCTGTGCCTGTCCCGGTGCAGGTCGAGCGTCACCTCGTCGACTCCTCCTACCGGATGGATCAGTATCCTCTCGAGTGGACACTCGCCAAGGCTTTCCTCTTCTCCCTCACCATCATCACGACAATAGGTGAGTTTTTCCCGTCTCTCTAACAATACTACCGTGCTAAGGAAGAACGCCGTATGAGTCATCAGACGTTGCCAAATGGACGTATTTCTATTAAATGGACCTAAGCGTCATAGGGTGAGGAAGGTAGAGGGGGGCTTGGATTGGCGGCGGAATCGGGCGTCCGCGGCGTATTCCGTCCTATACTCGCAATGCTTTTCCATGGCGCTTGGATCCGTTTGACAGAACGCGCTATCCGGGATTCTAAATTCTTCAAAACGAACTCAAATTGACGCTTAGTTCCGTTTGATAGAAATACGTCCAAATTTCCTTCGATAAACACCGAAGTCGCAGAAAAAATGGTGAATATTTGTTTCCAGAATTTTTAGACAATTTCGTACGCAATTTAATCTAAAGTATCTGAAACATTAAAATAAAAATGTGCATAAATATCGTCAAAAGTACATGTCTTGTCAAGGGAAATTTGACAACACTCGAATGTTCATACGGCGTTCTTCCTTAGCACGGCAGAATAGACCAGCAAGCTGATTTGAGTCGTCGCACAGTAGATCGGGTCAATAGGAGAGGTCGGACAAAATTTGGAACCTTTAAACGCTCATAACTCCGTCCATACAAAACTTTGAGGCTTTGAAAGTGGTTCCATTGGTTTTCTCGTGAAATTTTCTTCTGATTAAATCCTTCAAAATTTAAAATGTGTCGAATTAGACATAAAAATTTGAAGTTTTTGATAAAAATTTAATGTCCGACCTCTCTGATTGACTCGATTTACTGTGCGTCGCGGCAAAAAAGGATGGATGTCACGCTGGGTATCCACGCGGACAACAGACAGAATCTTATTATAAATAAAATGAAAGAAGACTGAGAGATTCCGGTACCATCGACGCCATCTTTCATCCATGCCTCCAATCGAAAATGAGTGAAGTTAGCCGATCATGTCGTTTCATGGGGCCAAGTGTAGGCTGATTTTTTAAATTGAGCGTACTTCTGCAAAATGGAACTATAGACGAGTGGGACAGATTGGGTGTGCTCGAGGTGAGCTGCATAAGAAACATTGGAAAAGTGGGCGTGATTTCTTTTGGGAAAACGGGATTTTACATTCAACCAAATGGAACTATGCGCGAACTGTATGCGGCACTCATGAGCCATGGGCGTGGCAGAGTGTGTCGACAGGGCTCATGAGTTAAAGACCACCACGGGCGACAGAGGTGGCGGCTTCGTCACCGCTGACGTCACTGGCGCTTTGTAATTCCCATTCATTCTTAAGCCCCTCGACTAACGAGGACAAACATTCTTTCCCACTCGTCTCTGGTTTCGTTTAACAGAAAAACGTCCTATTCGTACCCCTCAGTATTACAGTGTCAAAAATGAAAAAAAACTTATGATAGAGTTTACGATCTTTCTGGTAAAATTTGCCATACCATGATTGCAATATAATTAAACCAGAATCTGCGCTTCTACGGACTCGTACACTCCCCTAAAAAAAAACGAATTATATGCAAAAGATCTGGTTACACCGAAATCCACTTTCATCAGATACGAAATTAGCCGGCTTTTAAGCCTGCGAGAAGAGGGCGCGGTGGATCAAAAATGGACCGCTCCCCAATTGTTTGCCTTCCCCCCGATAAAAAGAGCGCGGGCTAATTCTTTGCGCTTAATTAATCGATGCTTTTAATCAAGGTTCAGTCTCCTCGGATAAATTCTCACAGGTGCGAGGAACGAGCTATTGGTGAGTCCATCTTTTGTTGAAAATATTCAATTGCCGGGCGCGCGGAGCGTGATCGAGGCGGAGGAAGAAGGGGGTGAGAGGGGGAGCCTCCGCACAGTGTACCCTCCGTCGACAAAAATAAAAAATGTATAACTCGACATCTGGATATTTTCCCCCATGATTTTAAGGATATTTATATTTCATATTTGGACCGCGTTCAACAGAAAGGAACCAAGCCACATCAGCGATTTCCAGATTTAATCCGGAAATTTAATTTTTACATGAACACAGGTGTGCGGGTTTTCGTGCAAATTTCAGTTAATTTCCTCCATAGTACGAAGCGAATTCCTTAAAATTGTAAAAAGTATCCGCACAGACATTCTCTCGTAAAAAATATAACTGTCCAGTTTTTGGCAATAGCTGATGTGGCTTGGTTCCTCTCTGTTAAACGCGATCCATTTCTGACTCAAATGATGATTGATTTTCAAATGTTTCACCAACATAGAGAAAAATTTCAACAGGTTGTTTAGTATGGGGAGTAAAACACAAAATAACCCTAGCCTTCAGTTGGAAATTTCAATAGAAAATCCCGGCTAGTATATTCTTGAAGAAATTAAATAAAAAGCGAGTCGTGAATACCAAAATCGCAAATGGAGGAACGCATTCTCTCAGTCTCCCCGTTGTTTTCTGCACTAAATTCACCGCAAACTGTACCAAAATCAACACAAAATTTGTGTTGGTTTGTGTATTACTTCCTAAATTGATCACGAGTAACACAAGAACAGAAATAGTTTCATCAGTGTATAAATAATTCAAATATAGATGGAAATTTGGGGGAAATAAGTCAAAAATAACTATCATATTAGAAGTACACGGTGAAAAAACTGGGACAATATCAACCCCCCAACAATATCTCGCGACTTGTGAATATCACTGACATCTAGAGTTAAATATTCGGTAATTTCGTGTCAAATCCACGGCAAAAATTACACAGGAACTTTCAATGAACATGTCTTCCTTGAATCGCAAAATATTCTGGGTGGTTAACATTTTCATAATCTCCGGCTATCCAACTTTCATCCTCCCAACAATATCTCGCGACTTGTGAATATCACTGACATCTATAGAGTTATAAGTATTTTGTAATTTCGTGTCAAATCCATAGCAAAAATTACACAAGAATTATACCTATACAGCCTATAATAATATATTCCTTGAAATGTCATGAAATTACACATGAAATTTCAAAACGTGAAATTCCATTTTCCACCCCTAATCGTTGTCATGACACTTGTCCGCATCACCGGTTAGAAGACGGGACTTGTGCGCCGTGCCGGGAATGGAGCAACGCGGATTCATTAAGTGAATAATGAAGGGGGGGATGATGGTCTGGTATGGGGAGGGCGGGCGGGTAGGCTTTCGAAAAGCTTTCATGATTTATTCGGCAGGAGTGAGACTGTTACAACTGGATTACGTGGCCGGCATTAATTTCATTTCTTAAAACTAGACGAGGCACGCCGCACGCCGCATGCGGCCCAGAGTCAATTCGCGCTCCGCGGATACTTTTTCTCCGGTTAATTCCTCTCATTTCCATTTTAAGTCTCGCTTCTTCGCCAGGAAATGCCCATCCTTGCTCGCTAATTTTGACAGCTGAATCGCTAACTTCCACGGCGGAGCAATTGAAAGAGTTTCAGAGGTGACGACGCTATTCTGCCGTGATAAGGAAGAACGCCGTATGAACATTCGAGTGTTGCCAAATTGCCTCCGATTAAATTTTTATTTTTGAGGAACTTCTGTAATATTTTTCCTTGAAATTTGCAGACTTTTAAGATCAAATTGCAAGCAAAATTACCTTAGAAATTAGAAGAAAAATGTTCACAAATTTTCTTTGAAAGTAGTGATTTGTCAAAAGAAATTTGACAACGCCTGAAGGCTCATACAGCGTTTTTCCTTAGCATGGTAGTATTCCTGTCCCGCTTTTAAAAAACGTCGTATGAACTTTCCTACGTTGCCGAATCAGGGTTGCCGACCGTCTGGAAAACCGGGAGGTCAGGCAGAACCAGGGAATTTGCGGCGACCAGGAAAAGTCAGGGAAATTCAGGGGACTCAAAGGAAAAGTCAGAAAATTTTGCGAGATGTGTCGGACAGAAGTGAGTGTAATTTTAGAGAGCCAAAGTGGTAGTAAGAGTATAAAAGAGCCAAAGTGGTAGTTTTATTTGAATGCCAGGAAATGTCAGAGAATCTGAAAATTTTGGAGTCAGGGAAAAGTCAGGGACTCTGAAGATGAAGAAATTATGGCAACCCTCCAAAAACTTCCCATATTGAAATATTAATATTATCCAAATAAAAATTATGATTTTCACTCGAATGTACTTTCGGGTGTGAAATTGAGAGTCATTAATGGCAAACTCTGGTTCATTTTTTTTTCACTGTGCTTTTAAGAACAGATACAAAACATTCAGTTATTTATGTTTCAAGAAACAGAATTGATCGTTGAAAACATATTCATAGAAAAAAAATTCAAACTACCCCTCAAGAACAAAATTTGCTGAAAGTGCACGCAACACTGTATTCGTTCTCCTCCGCGAAAATGCAAAACTCATTGTAATTATCAATGGTGTGGCGTGCTTTGCAATACAACAATTGATCTTTCATTTAAACCAATGGAAAAGGATCGATAAACATGTTCGCAACGAACATCTTAATAATCGATTCTTTACCATGGCTTCAAATGGGGAAATATCGATAATCGATCATTAACGCCTCGCCGCACAGTGGATCGAGTCAATTACTGGGGTCGGACTTGAAATTTTTGACTGCATCTGCAAATTTTGATGTTTAATTCGTCACATTTTAAATTTTGAGGAGTGCCTCAGGAAGAAAATTTCACGAGGAAACCAATGGAACCATTTTTAAAATCTCAAAGTTTTGATCTAACGGAGTTATAAGCTTTTAAAGTTTCTAAATTTCGTCCGACCTCTTCCATTGACTCGATCCACTGTGAGCCACTGGTAAGAATGACCCAGCTCCTTGATTTTATTCACTCATAACCAGCCTCGGGTCTAAAACACCCGTGTCGGTTGGGCTACGGGGTTAAAAAACCGCATCAAATTTTTGATTCTGTTCATGCGGGGAAAATCTTTTAAATTGACCCACCGCACCGTTTCCGGTTCTCCGCCGCTCTTTGGAAACGACAGTTACGGCCGCCTGCAAAGGCTACAGAATCAGGAACGCTCACGAAACAGGAACAAGACGGCAGAAGGAGAGCAAGATTGCGAGGAGGGAAAAGTTAGAATGA